GGGTCGGCGGGGGGAGAGGGGGTGTCACCTGCCTTAAGGCACGCGTCGGTGGATGAGCTGGGTAGTGCCAGGTCACGTTTTCCAGTTAATGCTTAGAAGTACTTGGTGCCTCTTGAAGTTTTTAATATTTCCCCTAAGGTAAGAATAGCCAAAAATTCAGCTTCTGTAATGCAGTTAGCTTGCACACTAAAACTCTTACCTGGAAGCTCAGAAGTCCACCGTGAGATGTCCTTTGCAGCCACAAAGGGAAAACTATCGCAAGCACAAATGAAGCTGTAAGTTTCTTTCTCATCTAGTTCGCTACAACATGTGACAGTTGCGCTTGACCTCCTTGGTTTGATTTTAGGAAGCAAAATGCAATTTACCATCTGGAGAAAAAGTGGAAGAAGCTGAACAACCCAGTGATATAGAAGAAGGAGGATTAGATCTCAGTGTGTCACTCAAACCAATCAGTTTCTACATCACGGACAAAAGAGAAATGCTTCAGCAGTGTTTCTGTGTCATAGGGGAGAAAAAACTACAGAAGATGCTGCCCGATATTTTAAAGGTACTGAAATACCCTTACCTTTATGTACTTTTTACAAGCGTGAATGCTTATGTGACAAACCACATTTATCTCTCAAGTCTAGTGCACTTCCAGATGAAAAGCTGCCTATGTATGTCTGAAATAAAGATTATATATAGTCTCTAAAAGTGAGACTTTGTTAAGAGTTGATGTACTTAGTCCAGCTTACTCCTTTTTCCACTGCTCAGCCATTGCTGAGGTGCAGGCTTCTAATTTTTGTACTGTCTGTCTTTACTGGTTAGTTAAATGCAAAAGGAGTTCCATAATTGCATGGACTAAATTCAGTAGCATGGTTCACTAATAAATAGCAGATTTGTTAATAAAAGTTTGAGTTCTATTTGTGTCAACTGAATTTCTTTGTATGGTATTAAATTAATGTCTGAGATAAGTCAATAAACCCCCTACCTGACAAACAGCTTCCGCAGCTGTAACTTCTATGGGCTAGAGTGGTACGGTTGCTAGAGTTTTACTGGCTTAGAACATAAGCTTTTTGAGTCTTGTGAACTGCAGGACTTGGTAAAAATAAATTAGGCTAGCAGCCTGTACAGAAAAGAGGCTGCAGGTGAAATGCCGTTGGTGTAATATTTGTTAATAGACAAAAAAGAAATTTTTGTCTTTAACTATCTTTAGGAGTCATATTATTAACATAAACGAGGCAAGACTTCTTAATTTTAAACATGTAGTGAGCTGCTGAATGGCATACAGTTTCATCCATTTCTCATCTCTGGGAGAAGAAAAGAGGTCTGGAGCAGCTGGAGGCCAAGGCGCTTTTGAAAGGAAGTTGAACCAAACCGACAGTAGGGCCTTCAATGTTACGATATGCTCGGCACTTTCTAATTTTGGTACTTGTATGTGGTGTCATAGTTCATTTGAAAGTGTGAAATTATCACTTTATTTCACCAAGAGGACACCGAGTAATATGAAAGATGTGAAGGTAACTGGAATATCCATAAAATGTGTGGTGTATATCAAATATGAGGAATGGATGGCAGTCTATGTATTTCTTATGTTTTTCTCGTTATGATATACAGTGATGGTGTATTGTCAGTAGCAGTGTCTGCTTCAGTTTGTGGGCTTGGATTCAACAGTTGGCTCTGGTCTTTGCAGGCTTAATTATGTAATCCACCTGCTCCGGAGTGATGGAGAATTCGGAGTGATCAGGGCTACAGTTGTTTCTCTTCCATGCTTTGCACATATGGCCCAATATTCCTACTGCTCTGTGCAGCTGTAGTGAAAACTCCCAAGCCGTAGGTCAGATAACTGATAGTGTGTATTGCTTAATTTCTCAGAAAAACACGCTATTTCTGGTAGTTGTCAAAACTGAAACACCTACCGGCCATTCTTCAACAGTTGCATCAACGCGGGTCAGAATAGGAAAGGGACTTGCAGTCTGAGTTAGCTCTTCATTCAGTGCAGTTGGAGTACTAATTACTGTTCATAATTACTCTGTCCTCAGAAATTTTTAGTAGCTCATGGTCTGTCTTATCTGTCTTCTTAGAACTGTTCCATGGATGAAATCAAAAGGCTTTGCTTGGAGCAGTTGGAGCTGTTATCTGAAAAAAAACTGTTGAAGATACTTGAAGGTATGAATGAAACTTTTAGGCACCACTGTACACCAGAGAATAGTCTGCCTCTAAACTGGATTTTCACTCTGTTTCTAGCTACTAATATATAAATACACACATGTCATTATATATTGTTGTGTATATATATTGGTGTGACATATATACACATGCTAATAGTATATATAGAGTGCGTGTATATATACACATATATATATATATGCTGATTTTGATCTTTTAAGCTTGGATGAAATTGTGCATTGATTTAGAAGCTAGCAGGGACACATTCAGAAAATGGTAGTATAAGCTTCTTTTCCTTAGTACCCAAACTAAGAACAAAGCTGTTGACTTGGTGGAAAAAACAAAGCTAGGAGTGTAGAAATATTGTTTAAAATCCATTATTTTAGGTAAACTGACATTAAGTTGCCTCCTGGTTCTCTGCAGGGGAAATGTGACATACTGCAATGCCAGTTCAATTGTATTAGCAATTGCAGTAGAGCACTCGATGTAGTTAAAGGATTCTTGGTAGATGGCTCTGCTCTGCTGAGACACACAGTTCCTGCACTTTGCTTATGGGTACCATGTTCCAGCTTTTCAGTATGTTACTGAACTTCCACTTGATATTTAAGGGCTGTGGAATTTATTTATAAACGTATTGCTGTCTTCTCAATTAAGTGGAGCTCTTTGAATCTTGAATGCTGCGGAGTATCTGCTATTAATTCTGTCTCCTGTGCTTTATTTTTAGCACCGATAGTATTGTACTAGCGATAGCTATTCTGTTTTTTTCATAGTACACTGTAACTGAAATAAGGGTTTTGAATAACTGATTGTAGAACATTTGCTTTAACTGGGAAAAGCCTCTTCTGCTGATTATTGTGATAGAGTTAATCATTAAGAGTACGCCTAACTATGTAGCATTAATTATATTACTTGCCTAAATTTTGATGTTTGAAACTGTGTACATTTAGGCAAGATTGGAGCAGATTCTGATACTGACGAGGAGGCAGATGGAGGAGACAAGACTGGAAGTGAATCAGTCAGTCAGTGAGTAAAAGACAAAACACTTAAAAACTTAATTTAGGAATACTGAATAATACAGGGATTTTTCATGAGAAATGATCAAATTTTATAAACCTCTGAGACAATACAAGACAATATACCAGTGTTGGGCAGATTAAAGTACCGCTTAGTTGCTGATTTGGCTAATTCACTTAGACTTACTAAATAGGAACAAGTGGATGTGAAGGGTAATGATAGTAATCTAAATTTCACATTCTGGTCAATATTTTTTAAATTGATGGAGACCTGGTTTCTGATGCTGTCTCTGATTCAGAACAGCTTATGAAGTTACTGAAGGAAGTAATTGTCTTTGATCACATCTCATCGTGCATCATTCAAATATACTAGAAAACACGAGTGGTGCTAAGTTGAGTGATGTTTCAGTTTTACTCAGATGATACAGTTTTATACCCTTTGACACTATTTCTTCTGGGGTTCCATTTGGAGCTGTTTTTTGACTGTATCCCCGCCTTTGCTATTTGTTGCCTGCATGGTCTGGGAATGGTAGCAGTACACCCATTTATGTGGACTAGTTTTCTTATTTTGGACATTGCCCTCTGGCTATTTAAAAAAGCAAAATTAAAAATTCAGAACCTACAAAGTACACAACGTATCAGGTCTCTTTATGTAAGGGAGTCTCTGTTAAATGACTGATGTTTTTCCAATGAACTTCTAAACAGAATGAGAAGACAAACTTGTTGCTAAGGGAACCATGGAAAATGCCGCAGAATTTTCATGTCTGGAGAAGTTATGTGGGTTTTTTAAGGCCTAATTCACAAGCTCTTCATTGTCGCAAAGCAAAATACATGAAAAGTTCTTCATCTTGAAGAAGTGAGGCAGGATTAGTGCTGCTAGGCTTCAGTAAGGTAGTTCCATGACTGCAAGGTGTTTCAAAGCTACTGCTGAGACATGTATTTATGATCTTCAGCTATGGTGGATTGTGTAAAGTCTTGCTTATATGCAAGTAAAGTAATGACTTGAGCTGGTAAAAACCTAAAAAGAGGAAATTGTTACTGTCAAGTAATGAAGAAAAAACAACAAAATAGGGAAAGCAAGCAGGATTTACCATTTTTTAGTTAGCGGGTATCTGAAGACACTTAACCCATTTGCCCATGGCAAACAGGAAGGTTCAGGAAAACAACATCTAGAGGCTCTAAATTGCAGTTTAGAAGTCTGCTGTTTTCACACTGTACAGATAATATCCCGGACATATGCAGTGAGTAAACCAAAGTGGGTTGGCGTTGTCTACGTTTTCTCATAGCTGTACTGAAGTACTGCAGAATTAAAACTGACCAAGTTCTTTAACCATTGCTGGAGTTACCAAAAACTATTTGACAAAGCTAGGTCACCTTACGTTGCTGATGAGAAAGATGTGAGCGGTATCTGAAATCAAAATCAAGAAGAAACTGTGTTTAAAAAAAAAGAAGTAAAAGAAACTAGGAGCCATTGATCAAAGTTACAAAGCAGGTTGGTTCCTTTGATTAACAGAATGGTTGAGGTGCCCGTTTTTTGTATCTCTATCTCCGTCCTAGTAGTTAAATATTTCAGACCCCTCCAAATTGGCCAGGCAAGATATGTTGGTGTAGGAATTGTGGCTTTTCTTCTTTTAATAGAGTGGGTTAAAAAAGAGTATGCTATACACAAAGGTGCTGTCTCAGAACCTTGGCTCGTAGGTTCAGCTGTGTGCTAGCTTTAACAAAAAAAAACAAAGGAAGAGCTGTTTGGATGATAGCAAAATAAAGGGACAGGAAGAAACAGGTGAAACGAGGAAAATTAAAGTTTTATATTGATCGTTAAGTCCAGTGCTCAGTAAGTAGAACAGTATTACTCTTTTACAACTGTAAAATGTCACAAGCCCTTTTTACTAGTAGGTCTAACCTTTGGGCATTTATGTCAACTTTTTTTGCAAGCTGTGTGTAAAGAAGTATAAATGCAAGTTTGCAAAACTTCAGCAAACTCTGTTTCAGCCAGAAGAGCAAGAAGTCAGTAGACAGGGAGCCTGTGTTTGTGTGTGTATAATGTGAGTAAATGATCTTCTGCTTTGAAAAATCTAATGTGCTTATTTTTTTCACTGTGTGAATATTTGCAGTTTAGTATTTGCTTTTTCAAGAATTTGTAGGCTTTTTACTGCAGTTTTGGCTTCTTTTGTTTTAGAAAGGTTAGCAGTTTAGAGGCTCGCCTTGTTTTAACGTGTTTTGCTCCTGGATACTGGTCTGCTCACAGGCATGCAATTGCCATCTGATATTTACACCTCTAGGACAATTAGATTATCTTCACCATTTGGAATCACTGGAAGAGTAGGCTACATGAGTCACAGAACAGATACATTAGCACTTGGCATCTGTTCACTGTCTTCTGTTCTCCTGGTGTCCTCAAACTTCACGTGTAGTCAGACTGATGGACGTTTCATAGCGCATTGAACTATATGATTATCACCTGTCATTTGGGTAACCTTTCATGGGATCCTTCGTAAGGATTTTGTTTTTTTTTTTTTAAATTGCTTGCTGTTAGTGATTTTAATTGTCATTTGTGGTGGGAAAACTACCCTTGAAACAAAAATTTGCAGGAAGCTTATGAGGACTTGGGACTTAAAGAAATATCTTTTAGACTTGGAACTGCAAAGGCAAATTTTAATTTAGGAAGATACATCATCTTTATGTCAGAGTAGCAGAGGTACTCAAGCCTCCCTCCAGAGATTTAGGTGAATGTTTCTTAACAACAATTAAAAGCCCTGTGAGGAAAGTATTGGCATGACTGTATCTCATGTTGTCAGACTGTCCTCTAGTCCAGCATTAAGATATTTTTTTTCTGTCACAATTATTTTCCTACTGGTCTCCAACCCCAGTTACTGCTGATGCTTGGAATCCCAGCCACCAGTATAACAGTGCGATTGTCTTAGTCCTTACCCATCCACTCCTCTGATGTGTACCCCTTTTCCGAACCTGTGCTGCTGGCTTATCACGCTCTGTGTAATCTGCTGCAGTTGTGGTACCTAATCACCCTCAAACCCAGATTTCTTTGACAGCTATGTGGGTTCCTGAAAGTAATAGGTTCTGTACAGAATCCACATGCATGAGCCCAGGTAAGCATTGCACTGCCGTGGAGCATGCCAACATGAAAAGCTAGTGTAAGGCAAACCTAAATGTACAGCATTTATCACCAACAAACTGTAATAGTTAGCTCCTTTCTGCTGAAAAGAGCATACTGTGCTAATGTTGTTCTATTAAAAAAAAAAAAAAAAAGCTGAGTTTATCTCTTGGAAGTGTGATTTTGAACTTAACTGTCATCCTGAGGAAGAAATATGTTTGAAGACAGATGAAGCGAAGGAGCTCCAAATTACTGTGGTCACTTACTAGCATGATGTGAAAGATTAGTGTATTAAATCTGTATATCGTGCCCTAATTTTAGATTAGCATATCTTCTACTCCCGTTGTTTGGACACACCATTTCGAGAGCAAAACTGAACGGTAAACTGAAATGCTTCTGCTTGGCCACGAGATGGTGCAAAATGCCCACCGATAAAATGAAGTGGTGAAGGTTCGCTGGCAAAACAGTCCAATCTAATCAATTTTGAAAGAGTAAGATGTGCTGTAAAGGTGCTTTTGGGTGCTGAGAATTGTTTTGCTGACAGCAGATAGTCTTCAAAGGAAGATGGTTTTGCTGTAATCAGTGGTGGTTCAAGGCAACAGGAGGGAACTTTACAATAAGTTTTGATGTGTGTTTTTTTTCAGTTTATAATTCCTTTTAATGGTAAAAGTAATGGGTGTAGGTAATTTCACAGCCAGTGTTTGAACCATAGAGGTCACTCTTGAGTGTTCTGTCAAAGGGATGATTGTAACTCCTCAGTGAAATTTGGCATCGGAGCTCAGGGTGATACCAGAGATGTGAATTTCTTGCCTGGGTACTGTTTGTGCAAGATCAGAACTTCCCAAGTGATACATTGCTGTCCAATGCAGAGATGACTACTCAGTTCAAAATGATGAAGCTTGTGTGAGGGAGGGTGGGGCAGGGGCACCCTAAGCAACTTTTGCGCTTAGTGATAAGCAGGATATATCACAGCCTTATTTTGGTCAAGAGTTGTTTGACTAAGGATAAGAAATGGTGAAGAGTTGCTTAAAAATGAAAAAAAAAAAAAAGTGTATCTCTCTAGATCTGTTGACCAAGAGCTGGTCCCAGATCCACTGCTCTCCCTGGTTGCTGGTGCTTGGACATATAAGCCTGCAAGGTTTGCAATCCTGCTTTAGCTGCTGCTCGGGCCTTCTTGCACCTACAGGCCCCTCTGACAGCTGGTGCAGACCTGTGATCGTCCCCAGTAGCTGACACTGAGACTGCTGATCTCTTGTGTGCCTAGTGGAGCTATGATCCCTCGATTTGCCTACTTGCAGACTGTGTTCTCTTTCAGGAGTCTGATCTCTGATCTTACAGCCCGTTTGGTAGCTGACTCCCTGACTTGCTGGCTAGACTAGCCTGAGGTTTGCTGGTGAATTCAAGCATCTGCATACACACTGATGCATAATGTTGAAGTTCCCCAAGGAAGCATGTACACTCTTCATTCTGTCTAGTTTCTGGCAACACAGTCCTGCAAGCCCGTGTGACCTACAGTCCTTTTTGCAGCTGCTGGCACTTAGGCACACACACACACAGGTGCATATATGCAGAGATTTGTGTCCCCTCATCTGGAATAATATTATAGCAATACAGTGCAATAAGAAGGCAGGACAGGCTAGTGATCAGTTCCAGGGCTTGGCCGGACAAGTGTGTTGAACAGCAACCTGTTTATGCGCTGCTGGCCCTTTGGCTTATTTTTTTTTCTCTTTCCCTCCCCCCCCAAGCTTGTTCTTTTTCAATCTGCCTCATTGTCTCCATTTTACCACAGTTGGTTCTTCCTCAAAATATTCCCTCCCCCCCCAAGCTTGTTCTTTTTCAATCTGCCTCATTGTCTCCATTTTACCACAGTTGGTTCTTCCTCAAAATATCCCATCCACATTCCTACACTCTCCTTTAAAACATCTGCTGATACGTTTTATGCAATCCTGAAATGCTTTTCCTCAGCATCCTATATGGACCCCCTTGCTGCTGTACACAGTAACAGCCTATAAGGTGATTGCTCTAGGCAGACTATACTCTTCCGAGGTTTCATTCCCAGAAAATGGGCTGGTTGGTCTCCTTTGATAGGCCTAGGAGCAGCTCAGGCAGGGTGATCCCTCTGTACTGATGAAGTTACTAGGGTTCCTCTGCTTGCTGTTTTCCCCTGTTCCACACTGCGCCTTTGTGCTTGTGGTGACTCGCTATTAAGCGTGTAACCTAATGGGCAGGACCATACAATGGAGGGCTGAGTGTGGTAAGCCGTGGCAAGTGGCAGGAGAGCAAAACCTTTCTGGGAAGGTGTGCTGTGACAGAATCATGGACAGATTTGGCTGGCGGTCTGTGCTGGCATCTGGCCTAACTCCACCCAGTGATGGAGGTAGGTGGGGAGATACTGCTAGCCAGGAGTCTGGAACTGTCTCAAACTGAGCACAAGCTAGCCTTTGGTCCTAAGGAGCGGCCTGGAGACTGGCACAGAGATTGCTGAGAGGGTGTTTCCGTGGGGCTAGGCTGTGCAGACTCACTGGAATGGTGATTGGGGTTGGTTTCCGTTAACTCTGACCATACGGGTGAGTGTATGAGTGTGAAACTTTTCCTCACAGCCTATCCTCTGCTCTAGCCACAGATGAATTGGATGTGGTAATGTTATGCTGTCTGATGTTCCTTTTCCCCTATCACAGCAGGAAGATTGAGACTCTGGTTAACATGTCTAAACCATCACGTGTAGCAGACCTAATTTTATTTCTTGAATTCCTGGGCTAATGTTGTGTCTAAGAGGTGAGGACTATAATCCGTCTTGCAACACCTTTGGCCTTTGTAGTGCAAGACTGATGACTGGAATAGAAAACAAAGGAGCAAATTCTTTGTTTCTGAAGAGGTAAAGTTTAAACAATTTTCTGGAGGGTTAGCCATATATAAAGAACTTCCTGATCAATTCCTTCTCTTTCAGCCCTACCTGGGAATGGAAAGTCCAACAGAAATTAAAAGCATGGGGGAATACTTCTTGAGTTGATCAAATAGGAAAGCAAACTGAAGAGATACTACATACCACTGAGTTCTGAGAAAAATGCATCACAGTAAATAGTCTATTCCTAGTTTATGATAATGGCATAGAAATTTAGGTTGGAAAAGACGTTTAAGATCGTCGAGTCTGACCATCTGCCTAACAGCACATGCCTACTAAACCATATCCAAAGTGCCATATCTACACGTTTTTTAAACATCTTCAGGTATGGTGACTCAGCCACCTCCCTGGGTAGCCTATTCCAGTGTCTGACCACTCTTACATTAAAGAAATTTTTCCTTATATCTAATCTGAACCTCCCCTGATACAACTTGAGGCCATTGCCTCTTGTCCTATTGCTAGTTACCTGGGAGAAGAGACCAACACCTGCCTCACTACAACCTCCTTTCAGGTAGTTGTAGAGAGCAATAAGGTCACCTCTCAGCCTCCTCTTCTCCAGACTAAACAGCCCCAGTTCCCTCAGCGACTCCTCATAAGACTTGTTCTCTAGACCCCCCACCAGCCTCGTTGCCCTTCTCTGGACACGCTCCAGCACCTCAGTGTCCTTCTTGTAGTGAGGGGCCCAAAACTGAACACAGTATTTGAGGTGCAGCCTCACCAGTGCCGAGTACAGGGGCACGATCACCTCCCTCCTCCTGCTGGCCACGCTATTCCTGATGCAAGCCAGGATGCCCTTGGCCTTCTTGGCCACCTGGGCACACTGCTGGCTCATGTTCAAACTACTGTCAACCAACACCCCAAGGTCCTTTTCTGCCGGGCAGCTTTCCAGCCGCTCCTCCCCAAGCCTGTAGCACTGCATAGGGTTGTTGTGACCCGAGTGCAGGACCTGGCATTTGGCCTTGTTGAAACTCATACAGTTGGCCTCAGCCCATTGAGCCAGCCTGTCCAGATCCTTCTGCAGAGCCTTCCCACCCTCAAGCAGACCGACACTCCGGTCCAGCTTGGTGTCACCTGCAAACTTACTGAGGGAGCACTCAATCCCCTCATCCAGATCATTGATAAAGATGTTAAACAGAACTGGACCCAAAACAGAGCCCTGGGGAACACCAGTCATAACTGGCCGCTGGCTGGATTTAACTCCATTCACCCACCCTCTATGGGCTTGGC